GCAGCAGCAGCAGCAGCAGCAGCAGCAGCAGCAGCAGCAGCAGCAGCAGCAGCAGCAGCAGCAGCAATAAGGAGTGCAGCAGAAATAGCGACGGCAGCGGCAAAAATGGCAGCAGCAGCAACGGCAGCAGCAACGTTTCACAGCTGCGTCTGCAACAGCAGCAGCAGCAACAGCAGCAGCAACAGCAGCAGCGCCAGCAGCACCCGCATGCCACGGCCGCTGGAGCAGCAGCAGCAGCTACAGTATCAACAACAACTGCAGCAGCAGCAGCGGCTACAGCATCAAAACAACTGCAGCAGCAACAGCAGCAGCAGCAGCAGCAGCAGCACTTGCCGGGTATTCCAGTGTATACATGCAAAAGCTTCACTAGAATGTCTCGGGGAGTGTCTGCGCAGACAAACGCAAAACGTTTGCTTCAAAGCTGCTGCTGCTGTTGCTGCTGCTGCTGTTACTTATGCTGCTGCTGCTGCTGCTGCTGCTGCTGCTGTTGCTGCCGCAAGTGCCGCTGCGGCAGCAGCAACAGCATGCAACGCAAAATGCACACTTCTGCTGCTGCTGCTGCTGCCACCCCTACTGCTGCTGCTGCTGCCACCCCTACTGCTGCTGCTGCTGCCATCCCGACTGCTGCTGCTGCTGCTGCTGCTGCTGCTATCTCACTTGGTGCAGCAGCAAGTTTGCTGCTGATGAACTCAAGAAGGGTTCGGTCTCTAAGAAAAGGCATTTGCCCCCTCAGGGAGTCATGGCTAAAAGGGTGCAGCACATCAGCAAGCAAGCTTAGGTTCTGCTGCTGCTGCTGCTGCTGCTGCTGCTGCTGTTGTTGCTGCTGTTGCTGTTGCAGCTGCTGCGGCTGCTGTTCCTGCGGCGGTTGCTGCTGGTCCTTCTCGTGCTCCTGCGGCTGCTGCTGCTGGGCTTGCTGTTGCTGTACTTCCCGCTCCCGTGCCGGCTGCTGCTGCTGCTGCTGCTGCTGCTGCTGTTGCTGCTGCTGCTGCTGCTGCAGACCCGCATGCATGCGGGCGTTGACAGCCAGAAAGAAGAAGTCAGAAGAAATCCCTGGCGGCAGAGCAGCAACAGAGAGCCACGCCATGCGGCCAACCTGAAGCAGCAGCAGCAGCAGCAGCAGCAGCAGCAGCAGGGTACTGAGCAACACAGTTCGCGTAGCAGCAGCAGCAGCTAGTGCCGCAGCAGCAGCAGAAGAGCAGCACAAAGCAGCAGCAGCAAAAAAGCAGCAGCAGGAAAGCAGCAACTGCCGGTCCATTCAAAAAGCCACAGCAGCAGCAGCAGCAAAACGCAGGCTGCAGCAGCAGCAGCTGCTGCTGCTGCACCAGCAGCCAGGGCCCTAAACAGCAGCAGCAGAGCACTCGAGACAGCAGCAGCAGCAGCAGCAGCAGCAGCAATTTGTTTCCCCCACATCGGCGAGTGGTGCTTCATGAAGTCTTTCTTCGTAGAGACAAAAGGCGGCCCTTGCGAATTGCTCCAAGCTGCTGCTGCTGCTGCTGCTGCTGTGACTTTGCTGCAGCAGCTGTTGCGTCTGCTGCTGCTGCTTCGAGCGCTGCAGCAGCAGCAAAATGGCAGCAGCCTGAATGCCACCATAAAGCTGCGAAGCCGACAGATCTGCAAGCCGGAGGTGCAGCAGCGCTGCATGCGTTTCTGCTGCTGCCAGCAGGAACTCCGAAGGGCTCCACCCGCTGCTGCTGCTGCTGCTGCTGCTGCTGCTGCTGCTGCTGCTGCTTGCTGCTGCGGGGGCCCCCGCCTGCTGCTCCGAGGGCGCACGGCAGCCCCACGAGGGTCCCCAAGCAAGGAATTCGGGAGTTGTGCATTCAATAAGTTGGTTTGCTGCTGCTGCTGCTAGCTGCTGCAGCTGCTGCAGCTGCTGCGCTGCATCACTTCCCACGCTGTGGGGCCTCCAAGTGTGCCGAAGGCCCCACGCGGGCCGAGTCTGTACATCTGCTGCTGCTGCTGCTGCTGCAGTTGCTGCTGCTGCCAGTTTCCGCGCTGCATCAGCTCCTGTTGCTGCTGCTGGCGAGAGAGCCGGCCCCGGAAGCTCCGCTGCTGCTGCTGCTGCTGCTGCTGCTCTTGTTGCTGCAGCCTCTGCCGCTGTTGCATATTGGGTGTAGCTGCGTGCTGCAGCAAAGGGCAGCAGCGCTTGTCGCTTGATAGGGGGGAGGGTGCAGCAGCTACCTGCTGCTGCTGCTGCTGCTGCTGCTGCTGCTGCTGCTGCACCTCTGCTTCCCAGCAGCTCGTTGGGGCCCCTTCTGGGGGGCCCCAGTGCCCTTAGAGTTTTGGCGCTGTGTAGCAGCAGCAGACAGGCGGAGTGCTGCGCCATAGCCACGCGAGCAGCAGCAGCAACAGCAGCCGCTGCTGCTGCTGCTGCTGCTGCTGGTGTTAGAGCTCTCCGTCGGCGCACATGGTGAGCAGCACGTTTGTGTTGGCTTTTGGATTTGCTGCTGCAGCAGCAAGACTTGGGGCTGTTGGTTTGCTGCAGCAGCGTCTGCGGGTCCGCATGCATGCAGCCCCAGGACCTTGCCGGTGGGCCTTGCTGCTGCAGCGGTGTACGTAGTTTGGCTGCTGCAGCTGCTCGCATAGCTGCTGCTGCTGCTTGCATCGCCGCCGCTGCTGCTGCTGCTGCTGCTGCTGCTTTGATATTGCGCGTGGCGTTGGACGCTTCCCCGCACTGGGCGCTGGCTGCTTCTGGGGTTGCGGCGTCGTTCTCTGGGAACTTTGTGTGTTTTTTTTTGCTTTTTTTTGGAAATAAATTCGAAAATATAAAATAAAACAAAAAGGGAAAGTCTGGGCTTCGAAAGATGTCGGTGCTGCAGAAGATCAGCGAGGTGGAGGCCGAGATCGCCCGCACGCAGAAGAACAAAGCCACCAACTTCCACCTGGGGCTGCTCAAGGCCAAACTCGCCAAGCTGCGCGGCCAGCTGCTCGACGGCAGCAGCAGCAGCAGCAGCAGCAGCAGCCGCGGCGGCCGCGGCGAAGGCTTCGAAGTTTCCAAGACTGGAGATGCCAGGATTGGCCTCGTGGGCTTCCCCTCCGTCGGCAAGAGCACTCTTCTCAACAAACTCACAGGTCACTGCAGCAGCAGCAGCAGCAGCAGCAGCGGGAGCAGCAGCAGCAGCAGGGGGGGAGCGGGAGCAGCAGCAGCAGCAGCAGCAGCAGCAGGGGGGTGCTGCTCTTGCTGCTGATGATGAGCCAAGAGGGGGCTCGGGTGGTGCAGCTGGACCGTGGCTGTGCTGCTGCTGCTGCTGCTGCGCTTCGGACTGTGCTGCTGCTACGCATCTCGCCTCATTCTAACCTGCTGCTGCTGCTGCTGCTGCTGCTGCTGCTGCAGGTACCTTCAGCGAAGTTGCTGCTTATGAATTCACAACTCTGACTTGTGTCCCTGGAGTTTTTCGCTACAAAGGCGCAAAAATGCAGCTTCTGGACCTTCCCGGAATCATTGAAGGTCAGCTAGGGTTTAGGGTTTAGGGTTTAGGGTTTAGGGTTTAGGGTTTAGGGTTTAGGGTTTAGGGTTTGGGGGCTCGGTCGCATGCAGCAGCAGCAGCCTAGCCACCAGCTAGCTCGCTGTCTGGCTCTCGGCGCAGCCGCAACAGACCTCCCTGCTGCTGCTGCTGCTGCTGCTGCTGCTGCTGCTGCTGCTGCTGCTGCTGCTTAGGCGCGAAGGACGGGAAGGGGCGTGGGCGGCAGGTGATAGCGGTGGCGCGGACTTGTTCTTTAATTTTGATTGTTTTGGATGTTTTAAAACCCTTAACTCACAAAAGAATTATTGAAAAGGAACTCGAGGGATTTGGAATTCGACTCAACAAAAAACCCCCCAACATCACCCTCGTCAGAAAGGACAAAGGTGCCCCTCCTGCTGCTGCTGCTGCTGCCCCTGCTGCTGCTGCTGCTGCCCCTGCTGCTGCTGCTGCTGCTGCAGCTGCTGCTGCTGCTGCAGCTGCTGCTGCTGCTGCAGCTGCTGCTGCTGCTGCTGCTGCTGCTGCTGCAGCAGCTGCTGCTGCTGCTGCAGCAGCTGCTGCTGCAGCTCGAGTGCCCCTGCCGCTGCAGCAGGTCCCAGTCGCTCCGCTCCCCCACCTCCCCCACCTCCCCCCCCGCTGCTGCTGCTGCTGCTGCTGCTGCTGCTGCTGCTGCTGCAGGGGGCATAAGCGTGAGCCGGAGCGGGCCACTGACACAGCTGGACGAAGAAACCATCCGGCTGATCCTGCAGGAGTACCGCATTCTGAACGCTCAGGTGTCTGTACGCTGCGACGCAACAGCAGACGATTTAATAGATGTAATCGAAGGCAATCGACTGTACGTACCCTGCATTTACGCTGTCAACAAAATCGACCAAATCACTATTCAGGAACTCGACATTCTTGAACAAGTTCCCCATTATGTCCCCATCTCCGCCAACCTCGAGGTAAACCCTAAACCCTAAACCCTAAACCCTTGAGCCTGGAGTGGGAGGGGCGTGCGGTTGTCGGTTGTTGTTTGGGGTTGGGGGTTGGGGTTTGTTAGGGTTTAGGGTTGGGGTTTGGGGTTGGGGTTTTGGGGTTGGTTAGGGTGTAGGGTTTGGCGTTTGCTAGGGTTTAGGGTTTAGGGTTTAGGGTTTAGGGTTTGCGCAGCTGAACCTGGACGGTTTGTTGGAGAAGATCTGGGAGTACCTGAGTTTGATAAGAGTGTACACGAAGCCCCGCGGCCAAATCCCAGACTACTCCGCGCCGGTGGTGCTGCGCTGCAGCAGCAGCAAAGTGGAGGACTTTTGCTGCCGCATTCACAAAAGCCTTTTGGAGGAGTTCAAGTTTGCGGTGGTTTGGGGGAAGAGTGCGAAGCACAACCCGCAGAAGGTGGGCAAGGACCACCAGCTGCAGGACGAAGACGTCGTGCAAATCGTCAAAAAGTGACCGATCTTCGCCGCTTTTTCTCCATTTCTCTTTTATTTATCTTTCATTTCTCTTTCATTTACCTTTATTCTTCTTAATTGCTTCATTTGCTGCGGTTTGGTGCGCGAATCGGCTCGGGGGACCGCCGGATCGCGGAGAAATTCGAAATTCAACTTCGCCACGGAGGCGAAGTTGAATTGCAGGCGCAGCAGTTGAAGCCGAGTGGCGATTCTTTCAGTTCTTCTTCTTTGGATTTCTTTATTCTTTTAATTCTTTTAATTCTTTTAATTATTTTAATTATTTTAATCATTTCAATTATTTTAACCACAAATAAGTCATTTTAGCGAGCCACAAGCTTTAATGCCACAAGAGCTGGCAGCACCAGCAGCAGCAGCAGCAGCAGCAAACGCCAAGCAGCACGAGCAGCAGCAGACGGAAGGCAGGGGCTGCTGCAGGCCGGCAGCGCCGCGCTGCTGCTTTGCTGCTGCTCCCGTGCTGCTGCTGCAGCGCCGCGCTGCTGCTTTGCTGCTGCTCCCGTGCTGCTGCTGCAGCGCCGCGCTGCTGCAGTGCTGCAGCGCGGCGCTGCTGCAGTGCAGCAGCAATATGGACGTTTTCTGTCAACAACTTTGCATGCATGCGCGCATGCATGCAGTTCTAGAAAGGTTGTTTTGCTGGCCCAATTCCCAAACCCTAAACCCTAAACCCTAAACCCTCCTGCAAGCTTCTGCACTAAGCCACGCTAAAATAGACCCATTCATGCATGCATGCATGCACTTCTGCATGCATGCATGCAATAAGTTAGTTAGTAGCAGTTGGCTCATCTGCGTACATGCACCGCGTACGCATGCATGCAAATGCTGCTGCATGCATGCATGCATGCATGCATGCATGCAAATGCTGCAGCATGCATGCACGCATGCATGCATGCATGCTTGCTTGCTTGCAAGTTGTGCAGCACAAGTGCAGCAGCGCATGCATGCATGCAGCTAAGGCAAAGGGTTGCATGCATGCAGCGGCAGCTGCACGCATGCGCTGAGGTCATCATATATGCATGCACGCATGCATGCACTTCTGCATGCATGCATGCATGCACGCATGCACTTCTGCATGCATGCATGCATGCATGCATGCATGCATGCAAAAAGCATGCAGGCATAACGTCCCAATGGCCGCATGCAGAGAAGAAGCCCCAAAATGCTCTTCTTGTTAATTCTCGTCGTTTGCCAGGGGGCCAAGGAGCTGCAGCAGCAGCAGCAGCAGCAGCAGCACAGGAAACACAGTTTGCTGCTGCTGCAGCTACGAGTTGCTCTTGCTGACGCTAGTACTGCTGCTGCTGCTGCTGCTACTGCTCTTCTTAGCTCTAGCGCCACTGCTGCTGTTAGCCAAAGCTGCTGCTGCTGCTGCTGCTGCTGCTGCTGCTGCTGCTGCTGCACCTTTTTTCTGGCTCGTGTGGCTTCGTCGAGGTGCTTTTCTAGCAAGTCTGCAAACGGCCAAACTTCCAAATTAAACGGTACCTGCAGCAGCAGCAACAGCAACAGCAGCAGCAGCAGCAGCAGCAGCAGCAACAATAATAATGCGCTCGAACAGCTTCTTGGACCGCAGCAGCAGAAGCAGTGGCAGCAGCAGCAACCGCAGCAGCAGCAGGAGCGCCGCCGGTTCCGCCGAACTGGGCGCGCCAACCCCAAACCCTAAACCCCAAACCCTAAACCCTAAACCCTAATTGGGAGACCTCGAAAATGCCCGTGGACTCTATGAGGCGGTACTGCTGCTTCAGCAGCAAAGGAATTGGGGGTTTATTTCTTCTGAGGGTTTGCAGCAAAGACTGCAGCAGCCAGCGATCTGCTGCAGCAAGATGGCTGGGGGATCGGCCGCAGAGGCGATCCAGCGCCTCCTGCGCAGCAGCAGCAGCAGCAGCAGCAGCAGGTAAAGCAGCAGCAGCAGCAGCAGGTAAAGCAGCAGCAGCAGCAGCAGCAGGGGCTCAGGGGAAGCAGGACGGCTCGGCAGCAGGGCAGCAGCAACCACGGCCGCAGCAGCAGCAGCGCCGCCGCCAGCCGCTGCTGCAGCAGCAGCAGCCAGCGCCTCCCGCCGCCGCCGCCGCTGCTGCTGCTGCTGCTGCTGCTGCTGCTGCTGCTGCTGCACTTACGCGTCTTTGCTGCTGCGTGAGGCTCGAGTGTACGTACACCAGCTCGGGGTGAAATCCACTTTCCGCCACTTCGACTTTTCGCAGCAGCTCAGCAGCATCTGGGGGAGGGGTTTTGGGGTCGGGTCCGAATTTTCTGTAGACCTGCATGCAAACCCTAAACCCTAAACCCTAAACCCTAAACCCTAAACCCTAAACCCTAGGGGCTCACAGGCGCAGCAGCTGCCGCGCTCAAGACTCACTATTTTCTCCGCACGCTGCAGCACCCTCGACAGCTTCCGCTTCCTCGCCTTCTTGTTCTGAAAGCAAAAACCCTAAACCCTAAACCCTAAACCCTAAACCCTAAACTCGACACCCGTGTTGAATTCAAAGGGCTAAAACCCTCTTGCGCAGCACTGTGGCTCGCGCCTCAGAAGATCGTTTAACCGGCGCAACAAAAAAATTAGGGTTTAGGGTCTGAGATTCATGATTTAGGGTTTAGGGTTTAGGGTTTGGGGTTTAGCGTTTAGGGTTTAGGGTTTAGGGTTTAGGGTCAGGGCTCGCCTTGGTGCGGAAAGCATCTTCCGTTAGCTTTTTCTCGTAGGAGCGAAAGCAGCGCCTCATGGCTTTGACCCGTCTGCAGCCAAAAAACAAGGGTTTATGGTTTAGGGTTTAGGGTTTAGGGTTTAGGGTTTAGGGTTTAGGGTTTAGGGCTTAGGGCTTAGGGTAAAGGACTTAGATCCCAAGATTTAGGGTTTAGGGTTTAGAGTTTTGCCCGCATTTTTGATGGCCCAGAAGCTCAGGCCTAGGATGCATAGCACTGAGTTAAAGATATAGGGTTTAGGGTTTAGGGTTTAGGGTTTAGGGTTTAGGGTTTACGCAATGTATTTGACATCCTGCTGGTACAAGGCGTCTTTAAAAGCCAGCTCATCTATTTGCTGCTGAAAAAGACTTTCCATCGCCTGCCTGAGCACAGACGCCGCAAACCCTAAACCCTAAACCCTAAACCCTAAACCCTAAACCCTAAACCCTAAACCCTAAACCCTTGAGGGCTGACTAGGTCGTAAATTCCTGGAATTTCACCCAGCCTCAGCCCTTGCTGCTCATCTAGGGTTTAGGGTCCAGGGTTTAGAGTTTTGGGTTTATCCTATCGCTAAGCAGCTTTTAGGGCTTAGGGTTTAGGGTTTAGGGTTTAGGGTTTAGGGTTTGGGGTTTACTTTTCTTTGTATTTGGGGGTCAGCAGCGGCGCCGGCTTTGCAACTTCTTGTAGAGGCTCTTCTATTCCTTCAACTGCTGCTGTCAGGCGGAGATAGAGGCTGCAGACAAACCCTAAACCCTAATCCTTAAACCCTAAACCCTAAACCCTAAACCCTGAACCCTGAACCCTAAACCCTAAACACTACATACCTTCGCAGCAGGTGCCACGGCCTCCCGTACACTATGCCTAGGGTTTAGAGCCTACAGTAATTGGTTTGGGAGTTAAGTTTTAGGGTTTAGGGTTTAGCGTTTAGGGTTTAGGGTTTAGGGTTTAGGGTTTAGGGTTTAGGGTTTGTGCTCACTTTTCCACAATTGCCTCGACTTGGGACCGGTGGACGTCCGAGGGCAGGGAATGAAGGTGTACGTACACTGGGCGAACCAGCTGCTTCGCTTTTCGCTGCTGCTGCTGCTGCTGCTGCTGTTCCTGCTGCTGCTGCTGCTGCTGCTGCTTCTGCTGCTGCTGCTGCTGCTGCACACAGTCTAAGGCGTCAATTTGTGTTGCTGCAGAAGCCCCCAGCTGCGGCAAAAAGAAGGTGATGGTTTTGCCCACAAAGGGCAGCTTATTTGCTAGCTGCTGCTCTCCCTGCTGCTGCTGCTGCTGCTGCTGCTGCGGCTGCTGCTGCTGCAGCAGCTGCTGCAGCAAGTCCACGTAGGCGTTAAACTGAGACAGAGAACAGCCATTAACTTGTCGAGCTTCTTCAGGAAAGTCGTGGGTCAGGTCTGTACATACACCCCAATCCCAAATGCTGCTGCTGCTGCTGCTGCTGCTGCTGCTGCTGCTGCTGGTAGTTTGTTTGAGGTGTTTGTAAGGCTCGTGCTGGGGTATGGCTAGTGGTGGCAGTTTGCTGCTGCTGCTGCTGCTGTAGGTGCTGCTGCTGCTGCTGTAGGTGCTGCTGCCGCTGCTTCTGCTGCTGTTCCAGCCCATCTGGTGCCGCCGCCGCTGCTGCTGCGATGGCACCAGCAGCAGCAGCAGCAGCAGCAGCGGCAGCAGCAGCAGCAGCAGCAGCAGCAGCCGCTGCTGCTGAACCCTCACCTGGATGAACCTTCAAGAAGAAGAAGCGAAGGTGGCGGCGCAGCAGCAGCCCCCGCGCCGTTTGCTGCTGCAGTCTATTCCTGCTGCGGCCTCTTGTATGCGTATGCATGGCAGCAGCAGCAGCAGCAGCAGCAGCAGCAGCAGCACGACTGGCAGCAGCAGCAGCAGCGGGACAGTGGGCAGGGGGGCCCCACCAAATGGGCGCACACGAGATAGGGGGCCCCTGTTTGTAAAGGGCCCCCCTTGTTGCCCAATGGGGGGCCCCCCGGGGGCCCCCCAGCTCACGGAGGGCCCCCTTGGGGGCCCCCCTCATGGGGGCCCCCAGGAGGGTCCGATTTTTGGCCCCTAGGGGCCCCCTAAGAAGGGCCCCAGTACCCTTCCAGAGCAGAGCCATGGGGGCCCCTGGGGGCCCCAGGGGCCCTCAGGGGGCCCCTGGCAGCAGAAAAGCTGCAGAACCCTGGGGCCCCACAGGGGCCCCCAAGGAGGCCCGGGGGCCCCCAAGGAGTCCCTTGAAAAGCAGCAAAGAAGCAGCAAAAATGACCCAAAAAGTACCTGCGTGGTCGCTGAAACTTTGCTGCTGCTGCTGCTGCTGCTGCTGCTGCTGCTGCGGTTGCTGCTGCTGCGGCTGGGGTCCCAGCAAACTGCAGCCAGCCAGTCCTTCAAATTTGATTTTCTTTGAACTTTAATTGACACAAAACTATTTTTTAAATACTAATTAAAGGCTTAAAGACCAAGGGGCCCCCCAGGGGCCCCTGGGGGCCCCCAGGGGCCCCTGGGGGCCCGTAGAAGCCTCGAGGGGGCCCCTGGGGGCCCCCCTGGGGTCCCCAGGTGACCTTGGGGGCCCCCAGCCCCTCTGAGTTGCTTTGAGGGGGTTTATTTGATAATTTTATTTATTACTTTAATTAATTTGTTTTGCTGCGGTGGGGTTTAGGGTTTGGGTTTAGGGTTTAGACTCCAGGGTTTAGGGTTTAGGGTTTAGGGTTTAGGGTTTAGGGTTTTGGTCGTATAGTCAAGGCGCGATACACACCTCCCTTTAACTAGGGAGGGACAGCTAGCGACGCCGCCAACGAGGCATTGCAAGCTAGCCAGTTAGCTAGCCAGCCAGCTAGCCAGCTAGCTAGCCAGCTAGCCAACCAGCTAGCCAACTAGACAGGTGGCTAGCCAGCCAGACAGCCAATTGGCTAGCTAGCTAGCTAGCCAGCTAGCCAGCTAGAGAGCCAATCGGCTTGCTCGCTGGCTAGCCAGTTAGCTAGCTAGCCTGCTAGATTGCCGATTGGCTGGCTGGCTAGCTAGCTAGCTAGCTAGCCAGCTAGCCAGAGAGGACTGCAGCCCTCTAACTGGGGCTGTAGGATCTAGAAGCAGCAACCCTCGTTTGGCCCGCCACCCAGCTAGCTACTGTCTGCTAAGCTAGCTAGTCAGCCGGCTAGCTAGCTAGCTGGCTAGCTAGCTGGCTAGCTAGCTAGCTAGCTGGCTGGCTAGCTGGTGGATGTCTAATTATCTAGCTAGCTGGTGGCTGTCTGGCCAGCGAGCTAACTCACCAACTTGGAGCCAGCTATCTAACTAGCTAGCTAGCTAGCTACATATCTAGCTAGCTGGCTAGCTATGCAGCTAGCTAGCTACCTATTCAACTAGCTATATAGCTAGCTAGCTAGCTAGCTAGCTAGCTAGCTAGGAATGCAAAGGTGCGACGCGCAAGAGACCATTGGTCCATTCCCCTTTCTGTGTGTCTTTTATCTTCCTTTTTGTCTCTTTTTAATCTTCTTTTTGTTTCTTTTTTGTTTTCTTTTTTGTTTCTTTTTCTTTCTTTTTTGTTTCTTTTTTGTTTCTTTTTTGTTTTCTTTTTTGTTTCTTTCTTGTTTTCTTTTAATTCACTTTTTGTCTTTTTGTTTTTCGTCTCTTCAGCTCTTTTCAGGTGTATCTACATGGCAAAGGCAGCAACAAAAGTGAAGAAGCTGTTCTGCTGCAGCTTGCTGCAGCAGCAGCAGCAGCAGCAGCATCACTGCTGCTGCAGCAGCAGCAGCAGCAGCAGCACTGCTGCAGCAGACCCTCTGCAGCAGCAAAAGCCCAGAAGCTGTTCTGCTGCAGTCTGCTGCTGCAGGAGCAGCAGCGCTGCTGCAGCAGACCCTCAAGTATCTTTTTTCATTTCTTTTTCATTTCCTTTTATTTCTTTTTATTTCTTTTTTATTTCTTTTTATTTCTTTTTATTTTTTTATTTCTTTTTATTTATTTCTTATTTCTTTTTTTGTTTAATTTCTTTTTTATTTCTTTTATTTCTTTTTCCTTTTCAATTTCCTTTTATCCTCCAGCAGCAGCCTCACTGTCTTCTTTCTTTTATTTCTTTTTCTTTTTCCTTTTGCTTCCTTTTCTGTATTTGTTTCCTTTTTAATTTCTTTTAGTTCTTTCTTTTTTGTCTGTTTGCTGCTGCTGCTGCTGCTGCTGCTGCTGCTGCTGCTGCTGCTGCTGCCTGCTGCTTCTACCTATCTGATTTGCTGCTACAGCTTTTCTAGCATATTCAAAAGTCTAAATATGAGTCTTTAAAATCTACGAGCTCGCAGCCAAAAAGAGGGTCTAGGGTTTAGGGTTTAGGGTTTAGGGTTTACCAGAGGCTCCAGCCGCTGCTGGCTGGCTCTGCAGCAGCAGCAGGCTCACTGTCTGCTGCTGCTGCTGCTGCCTCCTCTGCTGCTGCAGGTTCTGCTGCTGCAGTGCCGCCGCCAAACCAAGAAAAGAATCCGCCGGAGCTCTCCGCAGGAGCTTCTGCTGCTGCTGCTGCTGCTGCTGCTGCTTCGGGTTCTGCAGGCACACGTGCAGCAGCAGCTCACAAAAAGATCAAAAACAGCAGCAGCAGCAGCAGCAGCAGCAGCAAAGCAGACAAGCAGCCGCCCATCTACTAGGAAGGCTGCAGAAGGCTAGAATGCAAGCTGTTGCTGCAGCAACAGCAGCACCAGCAGCAGCAGCAGCAGCAGCAACAGCAACACTAGCAGCACTCTGCACCAGCAGCAGCAGCAGCAGCAGCAGCAGCAGCAGCAGCAGCAGCAGCAGCAGCATAGTTGTGAAACTTACCATCCGCCGGCGGAGGAGGGGCTGGGGCCTTTGCCTTGGGCGCAGCAGCCTTTGCCTTGGCAGCAGCTTTTGGTGGGGCTGCTTTTGCTGCTGCTGCAGTTGCTGCAGGTGCAGCAGCAGCAGCAGCAGCAGCCTTTTTCTCTGCTGCCTTCTGGGCTTCCTCTGCCTTCTTTGCTGCTGCTTTTGCTTCACTTAGCTCCTTCTGCAGTGCTGCGAGTTGCTGCTGCGTCTGCTGCAGCTGCTGCTCCGCAGTGGCTGCTGCTTGCTGCTTCTCCTCAGCTATAGCAGCAGCTGCTGCTGCTGCTGCTGCTGCTTCGTCGCCTTTGCTGCGCTGCTCCTTCTCCATTGCCACTGCAGCATTAAACTTCTTCACAAGTTCATTATGTTTAGTTGCTAAATCTGCATATTTTTGTTTAGCACTTTCTATCATATTGCTTTTGGTCTCCAGTTCCTTTTGCTGCTGCTGCTGCTGCTGCTGCGCCTCCCGCTGCTGCTGCTGCAGCTGCTGCTGCGCCTCTCGCAGCTGCTGCTGCACCGCCCCCAGCTCCTCCTGCAGCTTCGAGGCCTCAGCCCGAGCAGCATCCAGTGCCTTGTTTTGTTCCGCTTCCTTTTCTTGCTGCTGCTGCTGCTGCTGCTGCTGCTTCTGCTGCTGCTGCTTCTGCTGCTGCTCGTGCTGCTGCTGCTGGTCTGCTGCTTCCTTCTTCGCCAAGTCCAGCTGGTGCTGCAGCTGCTGCAGTTGCTGTTTGTGGTCCTCAGCTTCACGCTGCTGCTGCTGCTGCTGCTTCTTGATATCCTGCTGCAGCTCTTCGACCTTCTGCTGCAGCTGCTGTTGCAGCTGCTGCAGCTGCTGCTGGTGCTTCTTCTCCTTCTGCTCCTGGTCCTCGCGTTGCTGCTGCTGCTGCTGCTGCATTTGCTGCTGCTGCTTCCTGCACTGCTCCTCTAGCTCTTCAATTTGCTGCTGCCTCTCCTTGAGCTGTGTCTCCAGCTTTTGCTTCTGCTGCTGCTGCTGCTGCTGCTGTTCTTCTACCTCGTGCTGCAGTCTTTCCGCCTTCTTCGCTTCAGTGTCCTTTGCTGCAGCGAGCTGCTGCAGCTGCTGCTGCAGCTGCTGCTGCTCCCTGTTTGCTTTCTTGTCTCTTTCTGCTGCTGCTTGTGTCTCCTCCTCGATCTTCGTCTGTAGGTTTGCAAGCTGCTTCTGCTGCTGCTGCAGCTGCTGCTGCAGGTCCTCCAGTTCCGCCTCACGCCGCTGCAGCGCAGCAGCAGCAGCAGCAGCAGCAGCTGCTGCTGCTGCTGCTGCGCTGTCGGCCTGCCGGCGGGTTTCTTGCAGCTCTTTTTCTGTGTCTTCTTTCTGCTGCTGCAGCGCTGCTGCCCTTTTGTTTGCTGCGTCTAGCTGCTGCTGCAGGTGCTGCTGCCGGTCTGCTGCTGCTGCAGCAGCAGCAGCAGCCTGCTTCTTGAGCTGCTGCTCGCCCTCCTCCTTCTGCTGCTGCAGCTGCTGCAGCCTGCTGCTGTGCTGCTGCTGCTGCTGCTCCTTCTCCAGCAGCAAAGCTGTGTGCTGGTCCCCCAGCTTCCTCATTTCTGCTGCTAGCTGCTCTCCTGCTGCTTTCAGAGACTCCAGTTCTTCATTTGCTGCTTCCAGTTTTGCTGCTGCTGCTGCTCCTGCTTCTGCTTCGCGCTTCACGGCCTCCATCTGCAGCTGCAGCGAGCTCAGAGCTGCTTCTTGCGCCTGCAGCAGCAGCAGCAGCAGCAGCAGCAGCAGCAGCAGCAGCAGCAGCAGAAACGCCAAGTGTATAACCCGTGTGGCAACACCCGCAGCACAAGTATCTCTCCGAGAAGCAGCAGCGGCTCCAGCTAGCTAGCTAGCTAAATCTTGGCTAGCTATCTAGCTAAATGTTTGGTTAGCTAGCTAGAAAGATGTTCGGATAACCAGCTAACTAGCTGCTTGGCTAGCTAGCTAGCTAGCTAGCTAGCTAGCTGGCTGTTTGGATAGCTAGCTAGCTGTTTGGATAGCTAGCTAGCTGTTTGGATAGCTAGCTAGCTAGCAGTTAGGCTACCTAGCTAGCTAGCTCCGGTACGTAGGCAGCTACATAGGTCTGGCTAGCTAGCTCGCTAGCTAGCTAGGGTAGGCTACAAGTTTGTAGCCAGCCACCATCTAGTTAGCTAGCTAGCTAGCTAGCTAGCTGGAGGCTGGCTAGCTAGCTAGCTAGCTAGCTAGCTGGTGGCTGGCTATCTAGCTAGTTAGCTAGCTGGTGGCTGGCTATCTAGCTAGTTAGCTAGCTAGCTGGCGTCTGGCTAGCTAGCTAGCTAGCTGGCATCTGGCTAGCTAGCTAGCTAGCTAGCTAGCTGGGGAGTCACCTGGAGGTCCTGCCTGGCCTCTGCGAAGTCCCTGAGGGCCTGGCAAACTCCAGCAGCTAGCTGGAGATCATCAGCAGCTAGCTGTCCAGTGAGAGCAGCAAAAGCAGATTTGATTCTGGAGAAGGGGAGGCTGAGTTGCTGCAGCTTGGCGTCGGCCTGCTGCAGCTGCTGCAGCTGCTGCTGCTGCTGCTGCTGCTGCAGCTGCAGCGCAGCAAACTTGTTCCGCTCCCCCCGCAGCTCTGCTGCTGCTCTCGCCAGCTCTTGCTGCGCTCGAGTGTAATCTCCTTGAAGAGCATTTTCTATTTCTTGTCTTTGCTTCCTTTCTTTTGCTGCTGCTGCTGCTGCTGCTTCCTGCACTGCTGCCAGCTCCTGCTGCAGCCGGTCCCGCTCTGCTGCTGCGTCTGCTTCCCGTGCTGCTGCTGCTGCTGCTTCCCGCTCCGCTTCTTTGAGCTGGCTCTGCAGCAGCAACAGCAGCAAACAGCTCATAGGGAAGCGTTCAGGGTTTAGGGTTTAGGGTTTAGGGTTTAGGGTTTAGCGAGGCAACGGTGCAGCATGAGACAAAAGGGCAAAAACACGAAAAGGAAGAAGATGCAGCAGCAGCAGCAAAGAAGCAAAAAACAAAAGAGCAAGAAAGGCCCAGAAGCAAGCAGCAGCAAGCAGCAGCAAGCAGCAGCAAGCAGCAGCAAGCAGCAGCAAGCAGCAGCAAGAAGCTCCTTCAGCAGCAAGCAGCAACGCAGCAAACATTCCTAGCAGCAAGTTTGCTGCTGCTGAGCTGTACAGACACTGAAATGCACAAATCTGTAGAAGCAAAAAACCCAAATGAACGTCTCCGGCAGCTGCGGGCAGCTGCTGCCGCAGCAGCAGCAGCTGCTGCTGCTGCTGCTGCAGCAGCCGCGGCAGCAGCAGAGAAGCAGCACAGGGGAAGCAGCAGCAGCAGCAGCAGCAGCAGCAGCAGCGCCGGCAGAAGCATAGGAAGAACCAGAAGCGCTGCATGCGCAGCAGCAGCAAATGCAAACGTGCAGCAGCGCAGCAGCAGCCCTGCGAACACAACCGCAGCAGCAGCAGCAGCAGCAGCAGCAGCAGCAGCAGCAGCAGCAGCGGACCTGGGCCTTCTGGGCATTGGTCTGGAGCGTGCGGGCCCTGTCTTCTGCTGCAGCAAGCTGCTTCTTGAGGGCGCAGTTTGCTGCTCGGAGGCTGCTGCTCTCTGCTGCAGTTTGCTGCTTGAGTTTTGCTGCTGCTTCGAGCTGGTTCTCGAGCTGCTGCAGTTTGCTGTCGGAGTTTGCTGCGTCTGCTGCTGCGCGTTCGGCTTGCTGCTGCAGCAGCGCGCGCAGCTTTGCTGCTTGCCGCTCCAGCTCTTCTTGTCTTTTGCTGCAGTAGTTCATTTGGGACTCATCTGCTGCTGCTGCTTGCTGCAGCGCGCGGATTTGTCTTTCTTTTGCTGCTAGTTGTGCTGCTGCTGCTCTTTCTGCTGCAGCAACTTTCTCCTCGGCGCTGTCCAGCTGCTGCTGCAGCGCCTCGCGAGCAGCAGCAGCAGCAGCTTTTATGTCTTTCATTTCCTGCTTCACCTTCGAGACCAGCATGTTGCGTTTTGCTGCTGCTGCTGCTAGCTGCTGCTGCAGCAGCTCGGCCCGCTGCGCCAGCCCTGCTGCTGCTGCGCTGCTGCGCTGCAGCTCCCCCTGCAGCCGCTCCACTTCTTTTTGCTGCTGCAGCAGCAAATTGCTTTTTCTTTCACTTTCTGTTCTGTGTCTGTCGAGTTGCTGCGCGAGTTGCTGCAGCTCCTGCTTTGCTGCTGCTGCTGCTGCTGCTTCCCGCCGCAGCTCCGCGTTTTCCTGCTGCAGCGCGCGCGCCGCCGCCGCCGCGCGCTGCTGCTGCTGCTGCTGCTGCTGCTGCTGCTGCCGCCGCTGCTGCCGCTGCTCCGCCTCCCGCTGCTGCAGCAAAGTCCCTTGTGCTGCTGCTTTGTCCCGCAGCAAACTGTTTTCTTTGGCTAGCTCCCCAGCTAGCTGCCGCAGCTCTTCAAGAGCTTCCCAGTAGCTTTTAGTTCCAGCCAAAATGCTGGTGACTAGCCGGTCGTCTGGCCGCAGCTTCCGCCTTGCTGCTGCTGCTGCTGCTGCTGCTGCTGCTGCTGCTGCTGCTGCTGCGGACCGCTCCCGGGCCCGCCCGCCGGGAGCCCCGAGGGGGGCCCCCTGGTAGTCCATCGCGGCATTCGGGGGCCCCGACGCTCCCCAGTTTGCTGCTGCAGCTGCTGCTGCTCAGCTGCTGCAGCAGGCCGCGCTGCAGCAGCTGCTGCCGCGCCTGCTGCAGCAGACAGCGCTGCAGCAAGTGCTGCTGAAGCTGCTGCAGCAGAGGAGAGGCAGCAACTGCTGCGGCAGAGGGGCTGCAGCCGCTGCGCTTGCTGCTGCTGCACAGAGCGCTGCAGCAGCTGCTGCTGAGCGCTGCTGCAGCAGACGCTGCTGCTTGTGCAGCAGATGGGGCAGCAGCCGCTGCTGTTGCTCCTGCAGCAGGCGGTGCTGCAGCGGCTGCTGTTGCTGCTGCAGCTAATGCTGCTGCCGCGTTGGCAAACTGTGCTGCAGCTGCTGCCGATGGTGCTGCTACTGCCGCAGCAGGTGCTGCAGCAGCTGCGCCAGCGTGCTGCTGCGAATGTTACTGCTGCTGCTGCTGCTGCTGCTGCTGCTGCTGAAAGTGTTGCTCCCGCTGCTGCTGCTAGAGCTTCTGCTGCTGCTGCTGAAGATGTTGCTGCCACTGCCGAAGATGCTGCAGCCGCCGCTGCTGCTGCTGCTGCTGCTGCTGCTGCAGGGGAGATCCAGTGAGTGGGCAGCAGGGCTTAGCGTTGTTGCTGCAGTTGTCTGTTAGCTGCTGCGAAGAAGCAACTTAAAGAGAAAGGAAAAGAGTTTAGTTGCAGAGAGAGAAAAGAAGAGAAGGGAAGTGCTGCAGCAGCAGCAGCAGCTGCTGCTGCAGTTCAAATCGAAAGTAACACAAAGAAATGAGGCGAGCCGAGACTTTCCGGGGAGACTCAAGGAGAAAGACACCTACAATTCG